AAAGCAACATTTCGTCAGCTCACTGTCACAATCAGCTAACGCGCTAGCCGGAGAAGCAATTAATACTTTCATCCTCGAGGTATAATTTTAACTTACATACGTACATCATTTGATGTGGTCAACGACGAGTTGCCTGTATTTAACTTGATCTAAAAGGACGAAGAGTGACTGAGAGAGAGAGAGAGAGAGAGGAGGGGGGGGGGGCGGTGGGGAAGTGCGGTGGAATGCAATTGCTCTCATTAGTGGAGCTATTTCAACGGTTGTCCAACTTTGACCGTTGAACGCTACGATGCATCCTTTGACAAACGTGGCATTTTTCTTTCTGTATTAAAGACTAACTTTGAGAGTACAAAATGATTATAAGGTGATGATAATTGAGCACGTCACCGTTTTGAATATAAGAAACATCTTCAGACCTACCAAAATGGGTTAGAATAATATATTTTTATTATATTTTTTTTATAAAAATAAGATCGATAAGTATTTTAAAATTTCTAGGACTAATGTCTCAATAATGAATCATAATAAGATTTAATTTTTTTATAAATATCTCATTTATTTTTAGGCCTTATAATGGGAGAACAAGATATGATGAATATTTTTTATATTCCTGGGTTTTTCTCTAGGGTGTCAAGGGAGATTATACTATAGGATTTTTAGAGAGGGAGAGAAAAAATATATAAATTTTTTGAGATTTATATGGGAGAGTATAGAAAGAAATATATAGTTGAATAGAGATAATTCAAGGGCTTTATAATTGATTTAACATTGTGAAAATTTTGATTTTTGAATATAGGTGAGATATATCAAACTATATCACATTTTGTATCGATTTTCTAGTGAATTTTTTATTATTGATCTATGTGATTCTTTTTTGGTTTTTAAAAGTTTTTCTCTTATCCTTTCCCAACAAAGTAATATGAGAGCTCAAAAGATTCGATGGTCGAAGATTTAATAAGTGATGAAGATGCAAAGGAGCATAAAGTAAAAGTATTTTCTTTCAAGGAGACATAAAAGTAGATAAAATATTCACTAAGTGAGAAATTCTTAGGATTAACAAGTATTTTTGGGATTCCTAAAGCTAGTATCCTAGTGAGATAAGAAATTCTAGTACAAAAAGGGATCTTCATAAAAGAAGAAAATCCTTAAAATTAGGGTTTGATTCTTCTATAAATATATCATGTATCTCTAGGTTTTGATGAGGAAAACAAGATGTGAGAAATATTTTTGGTGCTCTCGAGTTTAGTATCTAAAGATAGTAGTACTCTTTAGGGTTTTTAGAGATAGTGAGAGAAAAAGATATAAATTCTTCAAAATTTATGCTCGAGTGAAAAGATAACTCATGGGTTTTATAATTAATCTCACATTGTGAAATTTTTGATTTCTACGTAGATGTAAGCTAGATTTGCTAAACCACAATATATTTTTCATTCGCTTTCTAACGTGTCTTTGGTTATTGATCTCTATGGTTCACTTTTGATTTTTAAAAATTTTCTTTTCCTCCTCCCTAACAAAAACCACATTTCGTAAGTGACCACTCGTTATAATTAATGCTATTTAGTAATTTCAAAGCTGGTAGGGAATCTGTACATTCCTGTAGCTCTCCTTCAGTAGCAAAATAGAGGGCTTCCAAAATTGCCTCGTACTCAGCTTGCAAGATAGTGCAAGCTGTGGTTGCTTTACAGCCCGGAACCTCCAAGCTTTTCTGCTTGTCTTTGAGAATGAACTCCAACCCTGCAAGATCATTAGGACCGAAGAGAGATGCATCAGTTTCACTAGATAAATTAAAATTAGCAGGGCAACACATGAGTTCCTGCTGGATCCTGTGTGCCTTAGCTTTCTCTTACGCCGATGCATGACATTCATATCCTCACTAGTTAAAACACCAACTATTTTACGTTATAATGACTTGACTTGGGTCATATGGTTGTAAAAATTGACAATCGTTTCGATACTTTTATAGGATTAAAAAAAATTTGATAATGATAGTAAGAGGGTGATCTTTCACACCCTTCTCTAATATTCTCCCCCGCCTTTAATCACTCATCATTTTTTCCACTCATGAAAGTTTGTCCCGGACAAGTTGCCAAAACACAAGAGCAAAGAACACTACAAAAAGAAAGGTTAGCAGAGTCCATAAAATCTTAACAAACAGGGAAGGAAAGGAGAGTTGAGTTTGAAGTATTAATTGCTTCTGCAGCTAGCGCCTCTTACCACGCGTTCTTACCAGTCTTTGCTCCTCCAAACACAATATCGTTAATGGCTTTATTGATAGAAATAATAGAAGATAAAAACAATAGAATATAAGAAGCTTTATTGTAGAAATGAAATAACTTTAGCTATCTTCTATCATGCCCCCGCAAGATGGTGCTCCTGACAAGGCTTTATGAGTAGAGCAAGAGCAAATCGCTATTGCTATTGCGATTGCTGTGAGGGTACATGTGTTCGGAGCCTCTCAGGAATGTGGCTGCAGTTGGTTCGCTTTTCTCACTGCTCTGATACCTTCCTTCTCCTATTTATACATATTAGGAGGAAGGATTTCCCTCAACAGAATAAACAGAATAGAGAGATTTCCTCGTATAGTTGTGAAATCTTCTATCAAATTGAGGAAATCTTATCTTCTATCATTTATAACCGAATGGGCTTTTGCATTAAGTGAAATTAGTCCATGTTTTCACTATTTAATACTGCACAGTGCAAAGGACATATAGCTTCGCCCTCTTGTAGATGCATAAATGTATATGCTTACCAAACCACATAGTTTTACGCTTTGGTATATGCATGAATGTAATATGTACACGTGCTTATTTTTTATTTATTTATGTATGCGGGTTATGAGTTCGTCAGCGGTGCATGTTTACGCGTGTATGCATCCACTCGGAAGGAACCCCAGAGTTAATTTATTGGTTAGCGTCCTGGACTATCAAACACCACTCGCTAGATATTAACGATTACCACATCGATCAGATGGGACCTGATAGCCTCCCGCTATCCTGAGACATAATCTAACATCATCCTCTGAGGACGACTTCATGCATCTATAGCCGCCTTTGGCGTTTAAAATGACCATCAACCTCGGGGGGGGGAACTTGAATTGATGGTCGCAGTCAACTGGAGATTCTGCCGAACACGTCCGACTGCCGAGCAAGAGAGAGAGAGAGAGAGAGAGAGAGAGAGAGAGAACCACCACAGGAAACAAAACAAAAACAAAAACAATGCGTATCTAGCGAGTCGTCCTTTTTCCCTTTCCACTCGAACGCGGCCGGACACCACGAGAAAAAACCAGCAATACATCAAAGCGAATATGGTTGCATGCCATATATATCATGCTATTCTTCCGTGTGCCATTCTTTGGTTGATGTCAGTCAACCTTCATTTATTACCTGTGGTTTGTTTATTAATGTTAGAATTTTACTAGCATGCCATGGATCGACTCGTATTCTAGATAAGGAGCCTGGAGTACCATAAGAAACAGCCTCTAAAAGCTTAATTTGATCTGCACCATGCACGACAAGTATCTACCTTATCTGTCGGTAGATAGATAGATAGATACTTGTGCTTAGTTGTGAAGGTAATATGTGTAGATTTATTGTGAATTCATGTTAAATCCAATTAGTGGCTAACGAGTATTAGTTTGCTTGTGGTTGAAGCAATATTCGCGCGTCATCTTTGAATTACAAACAAATGTAGCGAGCGGCATCTTGGATCAACAGCGCGTTACCTCCGTACCCTCAAGGTTTTACACTGCTTGTTTCCCGTCAACTGATACATTTCAACGCGACCATTATGATCAGAGGATTTCGTATGACAGGCAATCGACAAAAAACATTCGAAGAAATCGATCCGATGGTACCTTGTTCGGATACCAGTCTTTTGGAAACACCACCGATGCACATTTGAGATTTCAAAGTCATCGATGGGCACTGCACCTAAAATATCAGTCGATAAATTGGACTATAATTTGCACTGTAAGCTTTGCCCACAAATTGTCTGTCTCGGGGCATTGCAAAGACCGTTCTTACTATTTTCAGTCTAATAAATATATTGTGCATGATAAAATATGACCACTACCGGTAAAAGCTTAAGCGGTATAACCTAAACTATAATCCGGCTTCCACATGAGGGGGGGATGCTAAGTGTACAGGTGTAGATCTTTCCGAATAGCTAAATCTGAGACTTTATCAATATATGATACGAGATGAGAGCAATCAATTCAAATTCCCGCTTGAAACTTGGGTGCAATAAATAAATATTTGTGCAATGTCATAGCTTTGTTTTGTCATCCAATCAAGACTTTATTGTTGATGATGTCTGAATTAAAATT